TTTTGTTTGTAATCTGCTTTTGGTTGATCGTCGCTGTTACATGTTTTATATTATTGTTATTATTTTTCTTTTTTTTTTTTTTCTTTTACTTTTTTTTTTTTTTTTTTTTTTTTTTTTTTTTTACTTATTATTGGCTGAGGATGGATTTCAGCCTTACTTGTATGTACTATGTATACTGCTAGGCTGTTTTGGGATAGCTTTCATACTGTGTTCAACTATCTGCTACATTGGATTTACTAGGGGATTAGATTCTAGGTAAGTAAGGATGGGAAGAGGGAAGGAACGCAATCAATGCATGATGATATTCATACAACCATAACGCCATTAAGCCATATAATAATGAGAGAAGTAATAATGTACTCCGATAATCGAATCCCAGCTCGATTCACAACAACCTTCCATCACATATCCACATCCATCCATCCACCATCAATCAAGCACTTCCACTCCTCTTCAACCCCTCCTCCACCTCACTCAACAACCCCAAAAGCTCCTTCCCACCCTCACTAACCCTCCCCTCAATCTCCAACCCCTTCTCAACCATCCCCTTGGCCTCCTCCCACCTCCCCATCTCCACCAAACACTTCCCACCCCTCCACCAAGCCTTCACATTGGCGACAGGCTTACTCTCAACACTACATCTCGCATCGACCAACCCCTCCGGCCACGCGCGCTGGCTCATCCACGCCTGCGCCCGATTCGCATACAACCCCGCCAACTCGTCTCTCGCCAGCGTGACAGGTTCCCAGCCAGGCCGGCCCAGCGCCATGTCGATGGCATATGTGTAGAGACGGACCGCCTCGGCGTGGTTCGACTTGCGGTATGCGGTGTTGGCGCTGTCGCGGAGCTTGGTGATTTGGGCGCTGCGCTTAGGGTTGATGGGGAGCGGGGGAGGGGGGATGTTAGGCGGGTCGAGGGAGATGAGCGAGCGGTGCAGGGCGTTGAGGTCTGTGAGTTCGGCGGTTATTGTGGCGGGGGAAGTGGGGAGCGTGGTGGTGTTGGTGGTGTTGAGGGAGATGGATTTGCTGGTTGGGTCCAGGTGGAGGGGGTATTCGGTGAAGAGGTCGACGGAGGCCATTTTGTGTGTACCTTTCTTTTTGAGCTGTATGTGTGGGTGTGTAGAGTTATGGGTGGTGGGTATCGTTGGTATCGTTGTCGTGGTCGTGTGAAGATCTTGTATAGCTAGATGCTATCTATGTATCTATCTAGCTAGATAGATATCGTGTGTAGTTTCAGATTTCGGCGTTGACCCAGAATATGGTCTGTGCGGCGGTTGTTAGTGGTTTCGATTATATTGGGAAGGTTCATTGACTTACGTTCAGATATGAGTATTATTAGGGAACACGCGGGAACGACCTGTTGGATTGATTGATTGAAGAACAGGCGTATGGGAGATGACAGAACTGTAGGAAGAAGCAAGCTGGACGCAAGTTGTCCAGTCCTGCGATAAGTCTCGGGCGGTGGCAGAATTGCCGGCATAATGGTTTGTGGCGGTCAGTCACCGGGTAATTATTTTGCAGATTGCATCGTTATCGCATTCTTGACTTTGGTGAGATATGTATTTGTCTCTCTTTTACTGCTTGGCTAATTGCGCAAGCTCAGTTCTAGCGGAGCATCTATGAGTCTATTTCACCTTCTATGGGGCAATTTGTACGCGCTATACTCGGTAATTGATGCATTCGTTCGGAGTTATAATGTATACCCTCTACTATAGTACTAGCAATAGTTCCATACTAGGCACCAGTATATCAATCCAAACTGTCAGAACAGCTATAAACCGTCGCTTCGACCACAGGGATGTTCCTACAAAACAGTAGACTTCTATCTATGTATGCACTGGCTATCTGCCCTAGGGAAAGCGTCGGTTGTGAATCTGCAGCAACCAAACACCAGCCAATCAAGGTAAACTAAAAGCAAACAAGTTAAATGCAGTCCATTGTAGGAGACGTGGTGGAGGTCTGAGTCTGGATGGTAAGTTAGTTACTTGATCAAACGGATAGTTTCATGGCTTGTAGGACTCGAACATCCTGAACGTTTGGGTTGTTGTGAGGGGGTGGGGTACTTGTGGACAAAGAAGGGTGTTGTCATGTGCGGAGGTTAGTTCTCTGTCCAGGCATAGTAGTGAATGACATTTGCAGTTATAGACATCAAAGTATAGAGAATGTCAAGATTCGACAATTAATCACTCATCCAGCAGTAGAGGTGGGAAAACAACTCTGCATAGATTTTAAACCCTGCTTATCTCAATTGATAGAGAATTGGCGTAGCCATATACATTTACACTTAATGCTATCTATGTCATATTCCAACAGTGTCATCCAGATCATCAATAACCATGCAGACATAAGGTCCGATGCGAACACGTAAGGGACTGGTCCCGTCCAATCACAGCATACAGTCATCACCAGTGGAAGCAGCAGACAGAAATGGGCAGTTGAAACTTCACGCAAAAAGTCAATCAGAAAGATAATACAGCACGAGTGCGCCCACAAACACCGCTCCATGGTCATTTCGAAGAGATAAACGCAGAAAACCGCCGCTAGTCACGCTCAGCGTCCATAGCCGCTTACACTGGATCCGAATTCGGACGCTCCTCCGTAATGTTGGCCGTGTGCACCGCCATAGCTGGTGTTGTAGTCGTGGAGCACGCTTCCACCAGAGACCGTCGGGTCGTATGTGCCCGACAGCGCCGAGCGTGCTGCATGCGAGTTTCCAAACTCGTCCACCTCGCTCTGCTGCAGCAGAGCGTAGTCCTCGTCCCGGTCGCCACGGACAGAGGAGCCGATACCAGCACGGGAGCGGAAGTCATCTTCTTCCTCCTCGAAATCATGGGCAGGGTTCGAGGAAAAGGCGGCCTTTGTCTGCGCGGCAAAGGTGGGATCGGAGACGGCGTCGGGCAAGGTTCCGGTGCGGCGGAAATGCGAGACATTGCGGAAGGACATGAAGGCAGTGACGCAGAAGAGCAGGCTATTATACTATTAGCACAGATAATGGGGATGCCACGGGTATACTCACAAGACAACAACGCCCAGAATCACAGTAGCTGTGCTGACCTTGCATTTACTCGCGCTTCCGTAGGCCCAGTTATCGCATCCGCTTTTGCTGCTGCTGGAGCTGCTGCTAGTATCCCTTCTGCTCGACGAACTCGAGCTACTGCTGGAGCTGGAGCTAGAGTCCGAACTAGAGTCCGAACTTCCCTTACTCTTACCCTCCGCCACATAGCTAGCCACACAAACCCAGGCAGAGAACCACAGAATGGCGTACAGGCAGTCGACAGTTGCGAAGGCATAAACGTTTCCGAAGCGGCGTGCGCGCGGCCACATGGGCACGGCCACGAGGTAGATCAGACCGGGAATACTGAACCAGCACTAGAATGATTGAGAATCAGTACTTGTCGTCAGGCGACAAGTGTGGGGTTTCCAGTTATCGCAACGTACCAAAGCAAAGTACCAGGCGGAACGCCCATCAATGCCACCTCCCTTTGTGAAAACGGCGATGGTCAGGGCCCACGCCAGGAAGATGATGAACCCCTGAAACCCATGGATGAGGTTTTTCGTCCTCCCGGGGTTGAAAGAAGGCCGTGCGATTCTCATTGTGGGAGGAGGAAGAAGAGGAGAAAGACGGAAGACGGGGAGCGGTGCCTGACGACAAAGGGCGCTTCCTTGTACGGAAGCGAAAGAGAGGATAGAGCGATCGGACGTTTATGTGAGGAATCAAATCGAAGATACTTTTGATGCGCTGTATATCGAGGCAGACGTCTCAAAGGGCGTTGTGGAGGGGCGTGAGATGGGGTGGAATGGATTGTTTATGCCGATAGCGATCGAAAAACCCAAGACCAGGTGAACGGGGCAACCCGATCAATGCCGCGCGGACGCTAAAGTGGGCGGTTTCAAATGGTAGCGTTGGCGAACCCGCAGCGCAACAACAATATCAGCAGCGAAATGAGTTTCAATCAATCAAGTTGTTCGAACGAGGAGAGATTGAGAGAGATGAAAGAGAAAGGGGCAAAAAAGTTGACAGATGAATGTGAATGAGATGAGATGATTGTGGCTGAAGCGAATTGCGCAGCATCTCTTCAGCTTCAGTCTTTGGTACGGTACCGTAACTTGCGATGCCGATCTTACCGCTTGACTAATTATAGCCTAGGCTGAAGTGGCCGCCAGAAATAGCAGCACCTGACATGCACTTCTCCATACAAGACTTACTATCTATATTGACATTCACCAAGTTGAGCTCACAGCTTCCGGCTTCTACGGAATACCGTTGTCTGGTCGACATCCCAACATGAGTTGAGGATGAAGCTCGGTTGCTTACATTCCTCGTTGGTACAGTACCTGTTCCGAAGGCCCTCCATATAAAGTTTCTGTCGGCCAATCGGAAATCCTGCGGGGAGCTTTCCAAGGCTGACGAATGCCAGTCAACCAGCTCACCTGGAGGTCATGGGAGCAGTTCAGGCAGCTGTATTAGGAGATAGAAGAGGATATAATGTGCTGGCATGGCACTTACTCTACAAAATCGTGTCTGCGAATATCACGATTAGTATTCGTCTGGCCCAAATCTGATACTATATATATGTATATATCTCGTCACTTCAGTCGAAGGAAGACCATCACATGTAAATAATAAAGATCATATACCTAGTAGTCTCGCTATATTAGTACTATTAATATAAAAAAAGAGAGCAGCCTAACCAGCCTTACATGGTCTTACATTCCTACTACACTGATGTACAATGACGTACATGCATTACTAGACGTATAGTCCATGTCTTCGTACACCACGTGCTTCCCGTTCAAAACCATAGAATCCCTAACTTGAAGTTATCTTACCTGCACATACTACCTACTATGTTCTATCCCTATTTAACAGCCTCCTTTACCTACATTTCCACTTACCAGACCATAGATAGTATCCTCAACTTGGAAATGCCTATACGACTTAGTAGTACTACTACTATCTAACCCGAATAACCCGGTCCTTATAACAATGCTCCTCAACGAACCCAAAACCCTGTACCATAACCAAAACAAGCAAATCCAAATTGCTTTTTCATAACCAAATTCACCCAATTCATACATAGAAGCACAGCCAATCACATCATCTAGCGGCAGTACTAGCCGTTTCAAACTAGCGCTAAGATACTGTTTTCATGGAAACAGCTCTATATCTAGTCTAGAGTTTTTCTAGTACGCGGGACATTAGCTATGCTCTGCTGCAGATCTTATATCTTATATCTCACCTCATAAAACTGATTATACTTAGATATATTTCAAGAACAAGAGTCATAATATTCAAAATAGCAATAACCAAGTAACATCCCAAGGCGCCACTCAATGCTCCTGTATATAACCAAGTAATCGTAACATCGTGTCCCGTCCTGTCCTGTGGTTCCCGTCCTTCCGTCCGTCCGTCCATGCTGGGTGGAACAAAGGAAATATAACCAACGAACAAAATCTCATAATCAGAAGAAAGAGAATGAAAGGATGAATGTCGGAGTGTATGTAATCACGCCCTCTTCACCCTCTTCGGCTTCACAATCATCTCCAACTCCCTCAACGGCTGATAGACATGAGCATGCCACCACCACGGCAATGGATCCAGCTGGGAGAACTTCTGGTTCTTCCAGAAGAACAGGAGCTTACTGCCCTCGCTAAGGGCACGATCGACCTGTTTCCCCAGCGATCCAAATACCTTCACATTGGCTTTCTTCGCAGAGCGAAACAGACTGAATCGTCGACGCGGAGGAGGCGTAGTGATATCGGGCTTTGAGGAAGCAGACGCAGTCGCAGCATTCGCCGTGCCATTGACCTCCCCCTCGGCGACGCCATTCGTCTGCGGCCTCAATGCCTCCAGATACCCATCCACCAAGGACTTCAAATCATCCTCCAGGATGAGATACTTGACCGCCGACGCACCATGCGTGCAGCTATCAATCAGTATCACATACCGCAGACAATTGTCGCTCACCTCCTCATCCACCATCACCTTCAACCGCAGATGCCCTGTCAACCGGGCACCCATCTGGCTCGCGAACCGCTCCATCAGCGCCTGAATCGCCGTTGCGAGCCCGCGGTCCATCGGTGACTGGCCCCAGCCATCATCACCATCCTCCTCAGCGGGGTAGATCTTGGTTGCCTTGACCTTCCCTGCAACGACCGCCATCTCGGCATAAAACCCTCCCAATCTCGTCTGCTGCTGCAACATCCACGGCCTCTCCCTGGAGATGCGAATCTCACTGACCTCGGAATAGGTCAGACTAAGAGTCCGTTTCGGCAGCATCACCTCGCGATCATCCGCCCTCCGCATATTCCACACTTTGGTCGGCGACCGATGGAGAATCTTATGTACCGCATCCCGAGACAACACCTCGTGTCTCTCCACAACAGGTAATCCCTTCTCGACCAGGAATGCCAGGAAGGCTTCCCGGTCCGTTGAGGATTGGGAGAGTATATCCACCATCCCCCGATCAAGAGTGACGCACTTACACCCCGTCCGCGCCTCAATCACCCCCTTCGCGACGGCATCTTCTTCTCCTTCGGTTTCCTCGCTGCACGGGATCCAGACGTCCACGTTCTCTTTCATCACCACATCTAGTATTTGCGCTGCGTAGCCTTTCGTAGTGCCGCCAGGCACACCGGTGGTAATGCGATAATACCCGCTCAGTACTCGGGACATACTCTCCCCGCACGCCACGCCCGACTGGTGATCCCCGCCCACCACTTCGGCCCCAATGACCCGATGGCCGGAGTAATACCACCCGCGCGCGATCGCCAGTCCATACGGAGTGTCGATACCTGTGACGAGGACAGTCCGCGGCTTGAATTGGCTGTCACGGAGGGCGGCAGCGCGGCGCCGGGCACCGGTTTTGTTGCTGTCTGTCAGAGAGAAGGGGAAGTAGCCTGCGGCGTAGGCAGCGAGGAGGATGGTGTTGTCAAGCGGGAGGAGAGCGAGGGAAATAGCGACGCGGAACAAGTGCACTAGGACTTGGAGTTGGAGGAGAGAGCATCGGGGGGGTTGCAGGGAGCGGGATTTGGTTGTGAGGGCGCGGCGAAGGCGAAAAGGGTGGCCGACTGTCATTTTGATGTTATTTATAATTATTTCTTTTTATTGTCTTCAGTTGGTATATGGATAGGTTTCGGGGATTAGTTTCAATTACTTAGAGGTAAAGTGGGGTTATTGTTGTATAGTATAGTATAACCCCGAAAGCACCAAAAAAGAAACCCAAAATGAAGAAGAGAAACGAAATTGAAGATGGCCTCTGCGGAGTATCCACGGGCGGAAATTCTCCCTATATTATGTACTCCGTAGTATGTGTCGCGCGAATGCAAATGTAATGTGCGTCTCTCTCTGTGTGTGTGTGTGGAATGCTGCAAGGCGACCACGTCAGCATAGGATACGCATTTGTGATGCGAGGCGGGCGGCGCTGGATAGATAGATAGGTAGATAGATAGTAGACTAGTAGACTAGTAGCTAGGAGAGAGATGTGTTGGGTTGCTGCTGATGCCGAGTGTCAAAGTAAGTGAGTGTGAGTGAGGTGGCTGGGACTGCCAGCTAGCTAACTAACTGACTAGCTAAACAGCTGTCCGTCTATCTTATGGTTTCCACATCGCAAAGTGGGGGATGCGGATGGAGCCTTTTGGAAAGAAAAAGTAATATGCGGATTTCACTTTTTTTTTTGCCTCGGGCTGGGCTGGTTGGTGTCTGAGACTTGCATGCGATTGTAGGGTTGCAGTGCAAGTAGGCATTGATTGGATGGGTGCGGCCGAGGTTAGGTACTAGGGTAGCTGCTTGGCTACGGTTGCGGCATTCCTTGCCTTGCTACGGAGAGTAGCTAGCCCTGCCGTGTAAGTGTGCACTGTCCTGTACGCAGTAGGTAGATAAGAATCGGTAGATGGATACCCAATTTAATGCTGGGCGGGATGTGCTTGTGTGGTGCTTGCAGTTGCTCATTGGGTTTCGGTTTCGGTTTCGTTTCATGTTATGCTATTGTGAGTGAGAGTTGCATTATTGGCTCGTTGAGGTCATTGTATGTGTCATGCATGCAGACAGAAAAGTAAGCAGTTGAGAAATGCACTAGATCTCGTGAGGCACTCAGAATAGATAGAATAAATAGGTAGTAGCCAGCTGAAGTGCAGATCTACAGATAACTAGCTAGCTACTAACTACCTAGTCTTCGGTTACTACTACTACTGCCGGGAAAGTGTTCCTTGGTTCTTACTGCCAAATCCCGGGACGCCATTTAGTGGATCAGGGAACATGTACCCAGATGCATCAGAAGGAAAAGTAAAGCAGCTGAAAGCCGCTCGCAACCTACCCAATGCAGTAACTGCACAGTGACATTTCCGATCGTCCGTCGGAGATTCCATGGCCGGCGGCGGACGCGGACGAAGGGATAGATCCGGTACGGAGCTCTTTCCAAGCACTTTACCATGGCATGTCCGTATACAAGGCGACTGCCCTACGAACAAGCCTCGAACCTATTCTATGGTGGAGCTTAGCTACTTGAAAAAAAGTTGGATCGGCGTCACACAGGGAGTAGCAGCCTAGCAGGTTCAATGCGATCCGACCATGGTGGAGATGTATAACGTGGATCGTGGCGTGTCCTGAACCATGTCGGGTTTCAGATTCAGAGCGAGTGCTTTGTTTCCACTAGCCCTCAATAACGCCGCTTTATGGGACCGTGCCCTTCTCAATGAGGTTAACCTTCGAGGTTGAGCACGGGACTGCTTTTATGCGGAACTAGACTCGTATCGTCTCCTTCTCGACCAGGGGCACGCCCTCCACGTTTGTATTGTTGAAGTGGTACTTGCATTGTCTCCCTGTTCCTATTCTGCGTTCCCCACACACCATACATGGCCCGCAACCTACATGGGTCTTCTGGCCTTACCATCGGAGTCGCCGAATATGGACTTGAAAATGCTTTCTCGGGTGAAACTTTATCAGATGGCAGCTACAGGTCCTGTGACGATTCAACGGGGGAACCGGGACCACACCTTACTGGACCGATCTGCACCGATGTGGTAACCATCTCCGACTATCCAGTATTTGCGATGCCGTGCACCCTTGCGTCCGCCACTAAGGATAAGATAGCATCGCTTATTCGCTCTTACCATTCCATGGATTTCATAATGCGATCATCATGGGTGTGGCCCCCTGCCGGATGGCGACATATGCGCCTTATCAGCTACAACGGTCCACGTTGGTGCCGAATCGACTAGTCCGCGCGTCTTTCAGCGCTCTTAAATATCCTGCTGTCCCTCACGCATGGCTTCAGTGTTCACGCTCTCCCTTTACTCTCCCTAGATCTTCCCAACCTCATTCACCTTTCACGCAGCGCCTGTTATCGACCATGGGTGATAGTGCTACCCCCGAAGCCCCTCCTAACCCTCCTCCGGTTGAACTTTCCGTAAGCTTGCGCCATAGACTCCGACGAGATGCGCTCTATTCGGATAACTGACTGTTCGACAGCGCGAGGAAGGTCGGGAGCTGAAGTTGCTTCACTTCATCTATGACCAACCAAACCGGGATGAGATCCAGGGCAACCCTGCCAGGATCCTGGATCTGATCGAAGAGTTCGGTAAAACGTACCACTTCATGAACATCGGTCGGGACAAGGGCAAATTCATCGTCGACATCATCGAGGAAAAGAAGCCCGAAGTCATGATTGAGCTTGGTGGTTATGTTGGTTATTCGGCCATTCTGTTCGGAGATGCCGTGCGCCGGGCCGGCGGACGGCACTATTATAGTCTAGAGCTGAACCCCGAATTCGCGGCCATTGCGAACATGCTGCTTGAACTGGCGGGCTTGCGCGAATTTGTTACGATTCTCGTTGGCCGAAGCGATTTGTGCCTCGACAAGCTTTTCTCGAGCGGCAAAGTCAAGCAGGTGGAAGTGATGCTGATCGACCATTATAAGCCCGCATATCTCGCCGATTTGAAGCTATGCGAGCAACTCGGCAAGATTGTCCCCGGGGTTTCAGTAGTGGTGGCGGACAACGTGCTCTACCCCGGCAACCCGCCGTATTTGGAGTATGTCCGCAGCACAGTGGAGCAGAAGCGTGAAGCGGCCAAGAAGGGACCGGTCCAGGCGTATGACACAACCGGCCTGCCACAGAGATCATACAGGCCATTCATGGGTACGGATGCGACTCCCAGGTTTGAGCTGACCGGAAACCCGAATCTGGTATATGAGAGCAAATTGGCCAAACCCGAGACCACACGAGTGAGTTTCACCCGTATTTCTGGGGAAGTGAATGAGGGATGAGGGGTGGTGGGCATTTCACTGACATGCGGAATTCTGTAGGACGCGATCGAGGTGAGCCGATGTGTGGGGATCCAGGAATGAAAAGGGTCCCAAGGATAGAAGTTGAGAGATTTGTTTCTTGGTTGGCTACCTGCAAAGGCTGGACCGAGTGGCCTCAATGAAGCATCGGCGAGAGCGCAGAATGAATTCCGAGAATTGAAAGTGACGCATTGAGACATCGGCTTTTGCCGCGTGCCCCGCCCGACCCAAAGGTTGCCGTCGCCAGGACCTTCCCCCGCGCCAGCAGTCATAAATGGCCACTTAGTTGCTATGGAGGGGAAAAATAAGGCGGGTTTGCTCCATTTGTAATCCTTAGACGAATATCCATCCATAGCGTATATAAGCAGAGAATTCCCTCCGTTTCCCCATTGTCCATTGTTCACTGTCCTCCCTATCCTCTTCAAGATATACCCCCAACCCATCGCAAGTAACACCAACCACCCATCATGGCTTCAAAGACCTGGAACGTCGGAATTGTGGGTTATGGTTTCAGTGCCAAGACCTTCCACATTCCCTTCATTCAGGAAGTACCTCAATTCAAGATCACCGCTGTTGTGCAGCGCACCCCCAAGCCCGATGACGATGCCGAGAAGGACCACCCCGGAATCAAGTCCTACAGGACCACCGAGGAGATGGTCAAGGATGAGGGTGTCCAGGTGGTGGTCATCACCACCGCTCCCGATTCGCATTACGCCTTGGCCAAGTTGGCTCTCGAAAATGGAAAGCACGGTAAGATTCCAGACAGCCACATGTAGTTATTAATTCCGTATGAGTGCTGACGTTTTCTTGCAACAGTTGTCTGCGAGAAGCCTTTCACCCCCACCACTCAGGAAGCCGATGAGCTGGTTGCTCTGGCCCAGAAGCAGAACAAGCTCCTGGCCGTGTACCAAAGTACGTTCCTTTACCCTATCGCCGATCCGGAAAAACATGATCTGATAATAATATTTGGTAGATCGCCGGTGGGATGCCGATTTCGTGACTCTGTCGAAGCTCGTGAAGAACGGCTCTCTTGGCCGTGTGGTGGAGTTCGAGACTCACTTCGACCGTCATCGCCCCCAGGAGCCCTCCCCCGATGTTTCTAAGTGGAAGAACAAGGTCATCCCCGGTGGTAGCGCCATTTATGACCTGGGCGCCCACCTCTTGGACCAGGCTGTGCACCTGCTTGGCAAGCCGGAGCGCGTGACTGGATTCATTGGTTCCCAGCGCGAGGTCAACACTTCTGGTTTTGAGGACTCTTTCACTGTTCTGCTCCACTACCCCAAGGGTGTGCTTGTCACGGCCAAGGCCGGTGTTGTCAGCCCGGAAGAGGAGCAACTGCGCTTCTGGGTTCGTGGTGAGAAGGGTAGTTTCAAGAAGGTGAGACAACGGTCTTCCCCTCTAGGTGTCGATGGGTGGCAGAATACTGATGTGTACACGTCGATAGTTCCATCTCGATGTCCAGGAAGAGCAGCTTAAGTCTGGTGTGAAGCCAGGTGACAGCGGATATGGTCGCGAGCCTTCTGAGAGATACGGTAAGCCAACACTTATCCCCTATGATACAAAGCAGCATGCTGACAGTCTGCTAGGCACTCTCACGACCATCCAGGATGGTAAGCCTGTCAAGGAAGTTATGCCCACTGTAGAGCCCCCGACCTGGACGGAATACTACCGGAAGCTGGCGCGGGCTCTTGGTGGAGAGGGCGATCTCCCAGCCAGCGGAGCCGAGGCTCGTGAAGTGATCCGGCTGATTGAGTTGGCTCAGGAGAGCTCGAAGCAGGGAAAGACCCTGGATGTAT